AAGTGAGTTTATAAGTCTGTCGGGGGTAGAAGTACATATATATATATATATATATATATATATATATATACATATATATATATATGTGTGTGTGTGTACTTCTACCCCCGACAGACTTATAAACTCACTTGTGGTACACAAAATTTCTATTAGCCACCAACAGAATATAAAGAGATTTATCGAAAATAGCTCTCACTCAACTACTGCAGCATTGTTGGGGATAACTTGAATACGAAGAATGTTAGTCAATCAGTCATAGTTAGCATGCATGTCTAAGAACAATGCTGAAGTGCTTAAAATGAATCAATTGGAAAAATATCAATTTATTATTAATGACCTTCGATATATGTAAAAAAAAAATTAATTAATCAAATAAAAAATACTCATTTCGCTTGAATAGCGGTATCCAATAATTTTATTTCATATTATTTAATAAATAGGGTTCATTATTTATTTCTCCCTTTCTCTTGAGCTTGTCATTTAAAACTGTTGAACCGTGAACAATTCGAAATATTTTTCGCGAATTCTTTAATCAAAATTCTTTTTCAATTAAATAACAAACATGATTCAAGGCGAATTAACTTAATTAGAGTGCGCGCGCAAATGGGAAAGTATAACTCATGTTAATTATATATAGGATATACTGCACACAGGCACTCAGCCTCACCGACTCATATACTTGAATGTATGATGTATGAAGTAATCCCCACCCCGTCTTACGGCGACTCCTGGCGAATACGAAGCGCGTCGACTTGACTCGAGCATGCAATTAATTAAAAATACATGCACACATTTCAGTCCCCTTCGCCGTCCGCTCTTCGGCCTGACTGGGCAAAAATATACGAATTGTGGCTTTAATTTGACCGCAGAAAGGACTCACCGAGCACATATGTATGTGCACATACCTACGTATATATATATATATATATATATATATATATAAGTATATATCTATATATCCATATGTACATAGATACATATATATAGAGATAGATATAAGCATATAAATGGAGCACTCTGAAGCAACGCTAAGTGCATTAAGACACCTTTTTCCCACCCCCCTTTGCCTATGCTTCCTCTCTTCTGTTGCTCTGTGCGTGCTGCACGGTCAACAAGTGCGGCTCCTGGCGGATAGCTGCTCGTAAACACCAACATCCCCGCAAGGACACGAAATAAAGTTAAGCAAACACAGGCATTGAGTGCAAGAATGTTGCTCTTTCTGCTACTCTCTACTACTGCTCTTTTGCTCCTTTCCAAAGGATTACTGCACCCGGCTATAACTTTATTAATCAAGTGCTACAGCACTCATATTGATTTTCTTCCATTCTAGATATATTTTTATTAAGCGTGCCTTGGCTATATTCTTTTTTAATGTACCCTGTACAAAAATGATGAGAAAGTCTGATAATAATTATATATCATCTATAATTATAATTTCCTTTCTATGGTATAAAAGAAATTCCGACTCTATTTACAAAAGATAATAACAATTGGTTTGAAGAGAGGAAGAAAGGGGGAGACTATGAGAAATATATAGTTTAAGGTACTGTATCATATTATTCAAAAAAACTGCAATTCAATTACTTGCGTTAGTCATGAATCAAACTCTTTGCTCAGGCATTCAATGCCAAAAATGATTCAAAAGTTCATTGCGATATTAAAGCATTTAGCTGTCTATAATTAGCGACAGAAACTCCAAGCTGACTCAGCTACTTCAGAATTAAGAATGTATCACAATCATTAAATTGAACATGAATCGAATTTGTGGCCTTGATGGGAGTGTAGTTACTTTGGATACATTTTTATACCATGAGCCCAGTGAAAATGAGAAATCAGGGTAAAATGGTTTTGTGAAAAGTATGTAACAGGCAGAAGGAATCCTCGTAGACCACAAAAAGACTATATATTCCTTATCAGGACGACGAACTGAATCAATATAGCCCTGTCCGTCCATTCAATTCTATGCATATCTATGTATACCATAATAACTATTTTATCGAGAATAATCGAAAATTTGATTTTGTACGAGAGACTTTCACTTTGGAGTGTACACACATTGTAACGATATGATCAAGCTCTGTTTCACTAAGTTTCATAAAGATAGTCCTACTACAAGAGAAATTATTCAAGTCAATTCTCATATTATTTCCCACACCGCAGTGCAGCCTTAGCCCAGGCCTCCTAGTCCAATAGTGTTGACTGGAATCTTCTTACTTGTTGTCCTTGATCTTCTTTCTAAGCAATTTTTTCACGAAAGTCTTCCAACACCAAAAGCAAATAGAAATAGCAGAGGATATCAGCTAGTCAGATGATATCTGCTAGTTTTAATATGCCTTCTTTTTCTGCCTTTCGATATTTGCACCTGATGTTTTTGCTCTGCCCTGCAGACACGCCGCACAGAGTGTCAAATGCCATTAAATGTGAACTAACAGCAGAGCAGAGGAGCTAGTGGTCCGGCGAGGAAGAGAGAACAGGACAGACACCAGCTACTGATTGCCAGTAGCAATTCCAGAGGCGAGAAGGAAGGAGTCAAGTGGGCATAGAGGAGGCTAGCGGATATTTCACTTACCTTTTACCATTGTCTATAGACAAGTGGCAAACGCTCTGAAAATGTTTTGACGATTCTGGCAGGTGTAAGCGATTGAGACATACACACACACACAGAGATAAAATGGAATATATATACCACATATTTACTATATACTCATAGCTATATATGTGCGCGTGTATAGTGTGGTGGTACATAGGAGAATGAGGAATAAGCCGGCATGTGTCATGGGTGTGGCAAAATCAACACAAGAATACTTATCTAAATAGACGACCAGTAGCTGTTCAAATATTATCGAGCTGATGCCTCATAAAAAGGAAATAGAAAACAAGAATAAGAAAATATGAGTCGAGGAGCTCAAGGCTTATACCAATATACATATATAATCATGTGTTTAAGTCTTGCCTGTTCTGAAAGTCCTAGAATATGATACACATATCTAGTTTCTAATTATACTCAAGCTAACTTTAAAGAGCAATTAAATGTGTGGAGAATAATTTATTATTATAAATTAATTTAGTTTTTATGGAGTCCCTCATTATACTTTCTATTCAAGCATATCGCCGAAATTGAGAGTTTAATGCAGAAAGATTAGACAACGTCTGTCTCACAAACTTGCACAAACTAGTCGAGACTGCTCGACTAGGAGATACCCTGACATTCTATTGAATTTCTTAAAAATAGTGCCGAATAATCCATTTACTTTTCTAACTTTTCCGTGTAAATTCTACACAAAAAACTTTTATTATACCCTGAACCCATTGAAAATGGGAAATCAGGGTATAATGGTTTT